TCAGTCTATCAGTCATTCCTTTCGATTATTCCCACAGCCTCTTAACTGAGTTTTCAGCTTTTAGTCCTTCATAAATCCATTCTCCACTCTGGAGCCAGATTGATTGATTGATTGATTGATTGATTGATTAAAAGATTTTATTTATTTATTTGACAGAGAGAGACACGGTGAGAGAGGGAACACAAGCAGGGGGAGTGGGAGAGGGAGAAGCAGGCTTCCCACTGAGCAGGGAGCCCGATGCAGGACTCGATCCCAGGGTCCTGGGATCATGACCTGAGCTGAAGGCAGACTAAGCCACCCAGGCACCCCCAGAATAATTTTTCTAAAAATTTAAAATTTAAGTTTGATCTTATGACACCTACCACCCAGTCTTAAAGTACTGCAATAGTTCCCCCAATGCTCGAGTATAGTTTAAGCTTTCCTTTCCTCTCTTATCCTATTTCTTTCTTTTCCCACTTCCAAATTCTACAGACATACAAATAATAGATTTCTCACATGCAACACTATTAACTTAGTCTCTCCCTATTTAACATCATTTTCCCAACCTGTTCAAACTCAATTAGGCACCACTCTAATGCTTCCATTAAGTAGCTATCCCAAGAATAACTGGTTTTATACCATATGGTAACTATCTGGCTTGTCTTTTCTCCCTCACCTAATAAGTTCTTAAGAGACAAGGATTTGGGTTTTACTTAACAAGAATATTTAATACCTAGTATCTAGAAAAAAATCTGGAACAGAGTAGACTTAAATATTTGTTGGATGAACCCATGAACTATTGAACTATTACGGGTTGAATTGTTGCCCTCCCAAAAGATATGTTAAAATTCTAACCCTCAGTATCTCAGAATCTGACCTTATTTGAAAACAGGATCATTGCAATTATAATCAGTTAAGGTGAGGTCATCCTGGATCCTCACCACCACGTGAGATAGACACAGAAGTGCTGCAGATGCAAGCCAAGAAATGCCAAGGACTGCTAGCAAACCATCAGAAAAGGTAAGAGGCAACCAAAATTTTTCCCCTCCGTATGACCTTGCTATAACCTTGATTTTGGACTTCTGGCCTCAGAATTGTGAGACAATAAATTTCTGCTGGTTTAAATCACCCAGTTTGTGGCTCTTTGTTATAACAGCCCCTGAAAACTATGCCCAAACACTTGGTGAACCAATTTACACTTTAGGTGTATACATTTCCTGTGTCTCCCTATACCCCAAACCTCAACTCTTCCTTGCAAGTTAGGTTAAAAAAAATTAATCAATATGTGTGGACATAGTAAGGTAGCTTAATGTAATAGGATATAATAGAATAGATGATTAAATTCACATATTTGGATTCAAACAAGGATTTGTACAGGACCTATAGAAACAACTGGGTGGTTCAGATTTGTTTTAATTCAGTATTTTAATTTGTCAACTATTCTGTCATTTCTAGCAAAATCAGGAGAGTTAATGAAAGGAAATAAAATCCAAGGCAACTTTAAAAAAACAGCAAATTACCCTTAGGAAAAGTAAAAAAAAAAATAAAAGTAATTCACTTATAAAATTTTACTTATTATTCCTGTAGTTAATTTTTAAAAACAAACTCTCATTGGTTATTTCAGTGAAAAAGTTGAGAATTACATGTTTATCTTCTCTTACACAGACTGTATAATTACTACGGGAGAGGAATCTGACATATCAAGAGATAGGTCTCTTTTTTCTCTAGAAAATTCCTAGAAGCCAACCATTACTCAGTCTTTTGTTTTTTCAACTTTATCCCTAAATTCTGTTCATTAAACTAAGAGTCAGCCTTTTTTCCCCCAATTCTTTCTTACAAGTAAAGCGTATACCCACACTTGCCAAGCCTTATGTTTCTTTAAGAACTATATTTGCAGATTAAATTATCTTGTATATAGAAAATCTTAAGGAATCTACTATAAGCTATTAGAATAAATTCAGTAAGTTTATTAGATTCAAAATCAGTATGCAAACACCAACAGTATTTGTAATGAACAATCCGAAAAGATGAAATAAAAAACTCAATTCCATTTATAATAGAATCCCCCCCAAAATACATTACTCAGGAATAAACTTAATAAAAAAAGTCCAAGATTTATACTCTGAAAACTACAAAACACCACTGAAAGAAATTACAAAAGATCTAAGTAAATGGAAAAATATCCCATGTTCTAAGATGGCAAACCTCCAAACTGATTTATGGATTCAATGCCATATGTACCAGGATTCCAGCTGAATTGCAAAAATTGACAAGCTGATTCTAAAACTTATACAGAGTTGCAAAGGACCAAGAAGAGCCAAAACCTGAAGAATAAATAGGAGGACTCAAACTTCCCAACTCAAAACTTACTACAAAGCAAGACATATAGATCATGGAACAGAACTGAGGGTTCAGGAATAAATTCATGTGCCTATGGTCAACTGATTTTCAGCAAGGGTGAAATCATTCAATGGAGAAATAATAGTCTTTTCAACAAATGGTACTGGGACAGGTGGATAGTTGTCACAAGCAAAAGAATCAAGTTAAAATCCTTACCTCACACCACATACAAAAATTATCTCAAAATGAATCAAAGATCTAATTATAAGAACTAAAACTCATAGAAGAAAACACATAGGGGTAAATGTTCATGACTTGAGGTTTGGAAATGGATTCTTAGATATGACATCAAAAGCATGAGAAAAACTAAAGATAAAATATATAAACTTGGCCTCATCAAAATGAAAAACTTTTATGTCCTAAAGGGCACTAGTAATATAGTGACAGTAGTAAGAAAAGACAACTGGGGTGTCTGGGGTGGCTGAGTCAGTTAAGTGTCTGACTCTTGATTTCAGCTCAGGTCTTGATCTCAGGGTCGAGCGACTGAGCCCCGTGTCTGGCTCCGAACTGAGGGTGGAGATTTGAGATTTGAGATTCTCTGATTCTCTCTCTGTCCTTCCCCCTGGCTCTCTCTCTCAAAATAAATAAACAAATCTTAAAAAAAAAAAAAAAATACAACTGACAGAATGGGAGAAGACATTAGAAATCCTCTATCTCATAAAGGATTTCTATCTAGAATATATAAAGAACCCATAAAACTCAATAATAAAAAGACAAATAACCCAATTAAAAACCAAGCAAAGGATCTGAATAGGCATTTTTCCAAAGGAGAAAAGACAAAAAGTCAATAAGCTCTTATCATCATACTGTAATTACAACTGTTTGCTTACACACTTATCTTCTATATTGGAGCTAGTTTTCTGAAGACAGGGAATATATATGTTATTCATCTTTAATTACCTGTTGTCAGGTTCTGGACTTGGCATGTAGCAGGGATTCAGAAAATGTTGCGTGTATTTGCATTTGAGACTTATATTTGGGATAGTGCTAAAGATAAGGACAGAATTAAACAAATACTTTGTAAAGATAAGATTACAAATCTTAAAGGAGAATATAAAGCAATAAAAATAAACAGCAAGCACCTATATATAGTGCTTATTATATGCTAAGCACCATTTTAAATGCTTTAGATTAATTCAATTTTTGAACTCCTAAGTAAAATAATCAATTACAAATAAAATGCTATGATTCAGAATAGTTGAGAGGCTCAGAGAAAGCAAAAATCATTATGTAGTGAAGCCCATCAGATAAAATTTTGTGGGGGAAGTCTGTTAAATCCTGTATATAAAAACTGACTGGATAGTAGAAGAGCACACACAGAAAGTAAAGAGCATGTACAAATGGAGAGGAAAAAAGGAAAGGATGTGGCATATATGCAAGATAATAAAGAGGACCGGCTTCACTAAAAAAAGGTGTTTAGATAAAGATGAGGAACAGCAAAGATTATAATAAGAATTTGTACATGCTTTCATAAGCAAACTGGTATCATGTAAGTTTCTTACACCAAAAAGAAATAGCAAGGAAATTCAACTAGTTCAAGTGAAGCAGAAAAACAAATTCATACTGTTAACTACTTCAGGATGACAGTGTAAGGTGTGAAGTAAGTAAGATGTGAAAGCAGAGTTCTGACAATGGGAATGAAAAAGGCCTATACCTAAGAGTTATTCTGAACCAAGAACCTGATAAATAGGATATGGTGAATAGAAAAACAAGGAATCAAATGTACTTCTTGAGGTTTCAAGAATTCTAAATAAAACACAGGGAGGAACCATCCAGTGAATACCCCATCCTACCCCCAAAGAAAAAAGTGATAATGTAAATTATTAGGCATTGGGGGGAAGAATAGGGAATACTGAACTTTGGAATATAGATACAGAACTCTATCTAAGAAGCAAAGCAGATGAACTTTCTAAGGGCAAAATAGAATAGTGATTAGGATACTTATCACAGAATTATTTGAAGGCTAAACAAACTACATTTACTACATTTCTCCTGCCCTCACCCAGCCTGAGAAAAAGAAAGGAGGGGGCAACAGTTGTAAATTAAGAGACATAACAATAAAGTATCTTCTGTGGACCCTGACGGGGTCCACAAAACACCGACTGTAAACAGACATCTCTGAAACATCAGGGGAAATATCTTAATAGATTAGGATATTTAGATGATCCAGAAATTACTGTTATGCTTTGAACTCTGTGGTACTTATAAATGATTTAATAAATTCATAAATCAATTTTAAACTATTTAGGGAAAGATCTGTGAACAAAGCAACTTGAGTTAAGAGCATTATTTTTAACTCAGAAATTTGTTTTATGGTTGGAGGGAATGAGAACCTAGATGAATAAGTTAGGGTTTGAAAAGTAGTAATGAGAGTATTTTTAAACATAATATATCTCAAAATAAAGTTTTAAATGTATGCAAGGAGAATCCAGAATATACTGGTACTTCTTTGATCTTTATTTTTGCTCTCACTAAATCAGAAGCAATAAAATCCCTCAACTCCCTCTTCCCCCAACAACTGAGTGTGCTTTCTATTGTTCTCTTTTGCATGGTTCGATGACATCCAGCTTGGCATTCCTTTTTTGGTGTGACTTAAGCTCACTAATCATGCTAAGACTTACACTGGTCACTCGACGGTAGATCTGAGCAGCATTTTGGCATTCTGAGTAAGGGTATTCAGATGTGGCCATCTCAAGCATGCACATCCCAAAAGCATAAACGTCAACAGATTCATCGTATTTTTCCTCATACATCTCGGGGGCCATGAACTCTGGGGTACCTTAAATTAAAAGAACAATTCAGACTCAATGTGAGCAGAGGCTACAGATATTACTCACCTGGGGAAGAAGCAGAGGGGTTGACCTGTGAGATAGAAGGAAGTGGAAGGAGGGAAGAGAAGAGAGAAGAGTGGTGGGGGCAGGGAAGAGGAAGAAAATCTTAGTCTCTTTGCTGCATGGCCTTCATAAAAGAAACTAGAACAGGGTCAAGTGTCTATTTACTGTTTCAAACGGATTACTGTTATACAATGTCAAAATGGAGACTTGGATAAGAGAAAAACTGATATAACTCATAACGAAAACAAATGGAAGGAAAAGTAAGAGACTAGCAAGAAATAAAGAGGATATAATGGCATCTACCAATAAGACAAGGTGGGTTAAAAAAGATCAAAATACTTGTCTGCCCCCTACTGTATGGTAGCTGTAAGGTTAATATTTATAGCTAGTCTTTGGCCATTAACATTCCTCCTGATCAGTTTCACTTTTAAGGAGGCCTTGCAGTGAAAAATCTAACATTCAATATGTTTTTTAAAAGAAAAAAATAAAGTGTAATTGTCTATAAAGGCCATTCACCAGAGCCCCTTTCTTCACCTACTTACCATACCACCTGCAGTACACAAATAAGTCTACTGCAGATAACAAGAAAAATAGTGAAGGGCATCTTAACAGATTTTATAGACAAAAAATAAATACACACAAATGGAAAACTCAAATACAGAGTGAGTTATAAGAATAGTGTGGTCTCACAGACCAGGTTTTCCAATGTTTCCAAAGAAATTAAGTCTGGATACCTCAAACTATAGGGCATTTCCAAGAATAGGCTTACATACTACGATTTAAACAAAAAAAGAGGGGGAAAACTCTCTTGGGTTAGAGATTTTTAAGGAGCCAAAGACAAAGAAATGTTTCCTTTTCCTGTAAGGAAGGCAAAAAGGAAATTCAGCTTTAAATAACTCTTTTCCAATTCTTCTTGTTAATCTATTTTAAGAAAATTTAAAAATAGCATTCCGAATCCAAGTCACATAATATTCTATGGAGAACACTATTTTATAAGAATGTACAAATTACTGGTGTTCTATGGTTTTCTTTTAATACATAAAATTCTAGCCCACTTAAAAATTAATGGTTTCCTTGCTGTCACCACCTTTGGGGGGAGAATAGAGTATTTGTAAAGATTTCAAGTTTTCAAAGTGTCATATCCTCTTCAGAGAGTGAAAGTTTATCAAAATAATAAGCATTAAATTATTTTTCCAGCTGCAACTCTCTAACATTTAGTTGAAAGTCTGAAAGGACAGCCTCGTTCTTTAGATCAGTGATTCTCAACAAGGGGGCAATTTTGTTACCCAGGGACATTTAGTCCAGAGACATTTTTGGTTGTAACAACTGTGGGGGAGCTGGAAAGGGGATGTGCTCCTGGCATCTAAATAATCTTATAATGCACAAGAAAGCCCTTACAAACAACAAAGAACTATCCAACCCCAAATGTCAAATAATATTGGGTTGAAAAGCTGTTTCAGATATATCTTCTGAAGAGTAGGAGTAAGAAAAGTTAAAACCAAGTTCTCGGAATAAACTCATTTTCACATTTTGAAACAAAGTCTTAACAGGTAGAAACTTTTGAATACATATATATCTAACACTTTCTGAGAAAGTAAACTACATATAAATTTAATTTCTTTTATAAGAAAGTAACTCTATTAAGTACATAATACTACACATCAACCGAATGACCCAATAAGATTGATAGTTACATAAGGTTTTGTCAACAAAGTTCACCTTACTTCTCTTCACGTAACTTTGTAACTTTACAAAACATTGTTAGTCTTCAGATGATTCTAGAAGCATATAGAGAACTCCACATCTCATAAGTAAAACTGATCACTTCTTGAGTTCAAGCTAGGAATTTTTGAAGGCTTATTTCACATAATAAAAGCTTTGACAGGGTCAGGTTTCTAAATAAAAGGATTATCAGAAAACCAGTTAGGATGCAAGGCACACCTGAAACATACCTATCACACTCTTGGCAAAAGAAGCGCGCTTCAGGGTTGCCAGACCTAGGTCTCCAATCTTGACTGAGCCTGTAGGACCAGTGATAAAGATGTTGTCACACTTAAGATCTCGGTGAATAATAGGTGGAGTTCGAGTATGAAGAAACTGAAGTCCTTTAAGGATCTGACGGCACCAGCTTCTTAGAACTTTGATCTTCATCACCTTAAACCTTTTCAGGTACCTAGAGAAGGCAAAGCACACCAAACAGGTTATCAATGATATGAGTTTACTGCTTTGAAGAATTCCATTAATTCTAGCATATCTGAGATGGGAATATCAAATTTACACTATTAAGATTCAGTAACCTTAAAAGTTAGTGATACTTTTAGCAAGGTTAAAGGGGAAAGGATAACAAGTGGTTGGTAAATGAATTCTAACAACAAAGCACAGAAAGTGAATTCCTTAAAACTGGGTTAACTAATAAAATAACTTAGAAGAGATAAAAAATAAACAACAACAATAAAAAAATAAAAGTTAAGGGGTGGAATTTGACTTCTGGTAAATGGAGTAATTCTTACTGGACACAGAACTGTAGTAAAAAATATAAAAACAACTACTTCAAGACTCTTGAGAGCAATCAAAATTAGGCATAAATTGGAAGGGAGTTCACATGAGGGGAAAGAAAGCACTGCTTGAGCTTCCTATTTTCTAAATCTTTTCACAGTTGAGGGAAGGTGCCAGCCTGAACATGCAGATCAGCTCAATTCTAAACAGAAGCCTGTAGTCTTATTAGCTGAGAAACAGGAAGACAGAGTTCAAGATGACCACAGCAGCTAGCACAGTGCTGTCCAAAAGAACTTTCTATAATGATAGTCTGTTCCATATAGTATTCACTAGACAAATATAAATTAAAATTTAAAATTCCATTTTTCAGCTGCACTAGCCACATTTTAAGTGTTCAACAGCCACATGTATCAAGTGGCTACCATTTAGGATAGTACAGATTATAAAATATTTCCATCAGCACAGAGTTCCAGTGGACAGCAGAGATCTAGAAAGTAAAAGAGGGAAATCCCAGGGGCGCCTGGGTGACTCAGTCAGTTAAGCGTCTGCCTTCAGCTCAGGTCATGATCCCAGGGTTCTGGGATCAAGCCCTGCATCGGGCTCCCTGCTCAGCGGGAAGCCTGCTTCTCCCTCTCTCACTCCCTCTGCTTGTGTTCCCTCTCTCGCTGTGTGTCTCTCTGTCAAATAAATAAATAAAATCTTTAAAAAAAAAAAAGGAGGGAAATCCCAGAAGGGTGGTATAAAAGGGAGCCCCAAATCCTGAATATTCATTCTGCCCAAATCTCTGGTTGACCTCTGAAATACGTATTTTGTGAAGCAGATTCCAAGCAGCCCAGCTAATGCTAAAAGAATAGAACAGAGATTTCTGATGCTACCCACTGCTGGAAAGATAAAGTTTGTGGATTGGCTTCAGACATCTGAAAATATTCAGAATTATGAAGATATAAAAAATTACATTTGCCTCTTAGTATCTTTAAAATACACATGCCTAACTAAAGAACAATTTATAACATTGTATTATAGGGTCTATAGAATACCTAAATGTAACATATATAAAAATTATAGCACAAAGAACAAGTATCAGGGACAACTGAAACTTTATCTGTAGCAAGGTTCCTTTACATGAAATTGTACAATATCAACCCAAAGTTTATTGTGAAAAGTTAAAGATATAAACACAATCTCAAAAGCAATTGCTTTTTAAAAACAACAACAAAACAACACAAGAAGGTTTCAACTAAAAAGCTAATACAGGAACTAAAATGAAATTCTACTTCACTTGGATGAGGTAATTAAAACTAATGGTGAAAATTGGTTTTATGGTTTAAAAAAATACTGAAACATATTACCTCTGTAGGGTGAGGGAAGGGCTGCCTAGGAGCCATAAGGGCATTTACTAAGATAAAAATGTTCTATACCTTAACAGGATTTTGATTACATAAGTGAATATGCCTTTGTCAAAATTCATAGAATGATACCATTATGATCGATTACACTTTTCATCATATTTAAATATTACTGTAAGGAAAAACAAAGCATATAAATATTAGAACTTTAATGAAATGAGCACTTAAGTGTTTACGTGAAGCATACTGATGTCTACAACTTACAATGGAATAAATAAAATTAATAAAATGATCAAGTATATAAAATAGATAACTATATATTAACCTTGTATCTTATAATTTCATTAAATTTATTTAGAAACATTGGAATTTTCTATGTGAACAATTACATAACCTGCGAACAAGGGCAGTGGTATTTCTTCCTTTCCAATCTTTATGCCTTTTACTAGTTTTCCCTGTGTTTACGCCTTATTGCAATGGGTGGCCCTCTGAAACAATAGTGAATATAAGTGGTTAAAACAAGCATTCTTGCTTTGTTCCTAATCTCAGAGGCAATGGTTAAGTTTGACATATTAGTTATAGGCTGGAGGAAGTTCCCTACTATTCCTAGTTTGGCTAAGAGTTTTTAGCCATGAATAGATAGATATTGAATTGTCAAATACTTTTTGACAGATTTTGAAAATATGGCTTTTCTCCTTTATTCTGTTAATGCTGAATAACATTGATTCACTCAATGTTAAACCAACTTTGTGATCCTGGGATAAACCCTCTGGTATTGATGTATTGTGATTGCTGGATCCAATCTGCTATTATTTTGTAAAGGATTTTTGCATCAATATTCATGAAGGACATTGTTCTTTAAAAATTTTTTTCCATAATATCTTAGGTTCTGGTATTAGTGTTATGCTGGCTTCATAAAATGAGTTAGACTCTAACTGTTCCACCTCTATTTTTTGAGAAAATTCAACACAGTGGATTTTCCCATTTTTTAGTAAGATAAAATATACATAAAACTTACCATTTTAAAGTGATATTAATTAATTCATACTGTTATGAAATCATCACCACCAACTATCTCCAGAACTCTTTTCATCTTGAAAACTGAAACTTCATACCCATTGAACAATAACTCCCCAAAACCAACCCCCCTTGGGTTCTGGCAACCACCCCTCTACTTTCTGTTTCTATGAATCAACTACTCTAGGTATCTCATAGAAAGTGACATCAAGCAGTATTGGTATGTGACTTTTGTGACTGGCTTATTTCACGTTGCATAATGTCCTCAAGGTTCACTCATATTACAGCCCATGTTAGAATTTCCTTGCCATCCTTAAGGATGAAAACTATTCCACTGTGTGTGTAGACAGACAGACAGACAGACACACACACACACACACACACACATTTTGCTTATCCATTCTTTTCTTGATGGACACTTGGGCTGCTTCTACCTTTTAGCTATTGTAAATAATGCAACTATAAATATGGGTATACAAATATCTCTTCAAGACCCTGCTTCCAATTCTTTTGGGTATGAACCCATAAGTGGAAGTGTTCGGTCATATGGTAATTAAGTTGAGATATAATCGACATATAACATTATATTTGTCTCAGATGTACAACGTAATGATTCAAAATGATCTATATATATTGCAAAACGATCACCACAATAAGTCTAGTTACTATGTATCAATACACAGTTACAGGTTTTTTCTTCTTGTGATGAGAACTTTTAAGATCTACTCTTTGCAACTTTAAAACATGTAATACAGCATTATTAACTGTAGTCACCATGCTGTATATTACATCCCCAGGACTTACTTATTTTATAACTAAAAGTTTGTACCTTTTGACCACTGTCACCCATTACATACACTCCACCCCCGTGCCCCCAACTACAGCAATCACCAATCTGTTCTCTGTATTTATGAGTTCAGTTTTTTCTTGTTTTGAGTATTTTTAAATTTTTTTAGACGTCACATATAAGTGAGATCATACAGTATTTGTCTTTCTCTATCTGACTTATTTAACTTAGCATAATGCCTTCAAAGTCCATCCACATTGTTACAAATGGCAAAATTTCCTTTTTATGGATGAACAATATTAATAACCCATCATACATATACACCACATCTTCTTTATCCATTCATGTTGTAAATAAAGCTGTAATGAACAGGTGGTACATATATTTTTTCAAATTACAGTACTTCTAATTTTAATTTTTTGAGGAACCTCCATATAGTTTCCCACAATGGCTGCACCAATTTACATGTCCACCAACAGTACACAAGGGTTCCTTTTTCTCCACATCCTTGCCAACACTTGTTTTCCTTGTCTTTTTGATAATAGCCATTCTGACAGATATGAGGTGGTATCTCATTGTGATTTTGACTTATGTTTCCATAATGACCTGTATTTGTTGGCCATTAAATCTTTTTGGAGAAATGTCTATCCAGGTCCTTTGCCCGTTTCTAATAGGGTTTTTTAATGTTGTTGAATTTTGGGAGTTCTCTATATATTCCAGATATTAATCCCTTTTGAGTTATATGATTTGCAAGTATTTTCTCCCATTCTGTGAGTTGCTTTTTTACTCTATTAATAATATCTTTCAATGTACAGAAGTTTTTAATTTTTACAAAGTCCAATTTTAAACACATTGGATTTAAAAACCTTTGATATATGGCATACATTTCAGACAATACTAATAACAAAGTCACTTCTGCTTTCTGGTAGAGAGTAGTAAGTTTTCTTTTTATTGATGAAGACAGTGAGCCCAAAGTTATACAACTATTACAAGATAGAGATGGCAAGTGAATTCTTAAGCCTGAACTCCTGCTACTGCTTGACTGGCTACTCAATCTCTAATGCATACATTTAATTAAAAAATAAAATAAATATTTAAAATTATATATTTTGAGTCACATTTCATTTTTAGAAACCTATTTGTACAGAAATAAATAAGGACATAGGTATATACATGATAACTGTAGCATTGTTTTAAAGAGGAGATTGTGGACAAAAAGCTAAATATGGTTGAGAATGAAAAGTGGTGCCAAAGATAGGGATATTAGTTAAGAACCACCAGAACCAAACAAGAAAAGTACCATCAGTGCAGAAGACCGACTAAATAAATAAATAAAGGGTCTCTCTAATACAGCATCTCTAAGTCCTTCATTATGGCTGACTCATGCCCAATCACCTTGAAGAAAAGCCTAGTAGTCGAAAAGTCTTGCCCTCATAACCATAGCTCCTAATCAGCTTTTCAATGCTGAGTTATTTAATATAAACTGACAACCAACTCATGGTTAAATAGGGTTAATTATGGTACTCA